CTACCACACCTATGACCAATAATGGTCTTTCTGACACAGCACCCATATTCATTAATGCTGGAAAACATCACTGTTGCTGCTATTGCTCTTACTTAGACATGAGGCGTTCGAACAAACCACAGGCATTGGGTGTGGTTTGTTGAGGAAAGGTGTGCTGTTACTTCTCTTAGTGATCAGATGTTCAATTTTTAGCCAGCGAATGTGAAAGTCTAGTTTAAATATATTGATTTCTAGTGTACTGATTAATTTACTTACAAGTTGTAAGTACTTATTTATGTAGTGCTTTATACAATACAGACTGTTTTAAAGCAGCTTTGTGTTAAAGGGGTCATATGATGTTGCTAAAAAGAACATTATTTTGTGTATTTGGTGTAATGAAATGTGTTTATGCCGGTTTAAGGTAAAAAAAAAACCCACATAATTTTCCACATACTGTACATTATTGTTTCTCCTCTATGCCCCGCCTTTCTGAAACGCGTCGATTTTTACAAAGCTCATCAGTCTGAAAAGCGAGGTGTGCTCTGATTGGCCAGCTATCCAGTGCATTGTGATTGGCCGAATACCTCAAGCGTGTGACAGAAATGTTATGCCCCTCACCATACTGTGATGATGCCCTGTCTGGCCGGAGCGTAACATAAAACCATGTCTGCGTTTGTGATCGGAGAAATGACAAACAACAAGCGCTACTCTACACTGCTCAAAACTCGCGTTTGAATCGTCAGTGGCAAATTCTTTAAATATAAAAAAACTTACTTACAGTCTGTGAGTCAGAACAGCCGGCATTGTAGTCTACTCTCCCAGGATCAGGAAACAGTTCTCCATAAAATGCGCTGGACACATCTGAATATTTGGGTTGAAGTGTTCTGGAACAGTGTTGTAAATACAACTTAACCACTGATTTCTAGTCGTGTCCATTTTTGGAAGACCAAACAAAGTAGTTTCGCTTTCACAACGAAAAAGCGTCACACACCACGGCCTTGAGTGAGCAGAGGCGGGTGGGCTTGAGAACGGCGCGGCTGGAGGATTCGACGAAGGAGCGTCCGGCGGGCTTGCGGCAACCACATGTGTCGACCCCGACTCTTCGCTTCGTCCACGGTGAGAGCCGATCCGGCGATCCACAGCACTAAGTTGATGTATTTCCTCAGCGACCTAATTCAAATAAATGTGATCTTACTGCACTATTTCATCTCTTTCTGATCTGAAACGTGCAGAATGCTGAGTTAACGAGCTGTAGCTTCGCGTCAGGTGGTTCTTGCCTTCACGTCGTGTATTAAAATCGTTCAATGTACAGCAAGCCGTGTATTATCCCTTATGTATTCGCTCTTTAGCAGCAGTTTTTTTACAGCAATATTTAAATGACACCCTGGTCATTCTTGGTGTACCCAAAATGGTCCCACACTATCGACAGGCATTTCTCTGGTGGAAATAAAGCTTCGCTGTTTGGTCCCTCTGTCAGTTCATCTAATGCATGTAGTAGCCTCCGTGCCTCTGATAAGCACGTAAGTTTAAGCTGGTGCACAGCTAGTGTAACTTTGTTTTCGTTTCGCGCAAGCTGCAACAGTTCCGTTCCGTGTAACAGAAACACTCGGTTTAGCGGAACCTTTACGATTAATTAACCGTGATGTTTTAAAGCGCGGTTAATCGCGAAACCGGTTAATTGCTGCATCCTTAGGCGGCGGCGGCAACAACAATACTACAGTGAGAATAAAAGTTACGCCTTCTTTCTTTGCGTGAACATTTGGGCGGTGTTATGCAAATCTTCCCACATAGTGAGGTAGACATGTGGGGGCGTGTTAGAACGAGCCATTTTAGGGGGTGTGGCTGACTCTTAACTTTTATAAAGAATATCTCTTTGGATTTGAGACTTTAGTCTTTGCAGCTTTACAGATCTTCTTTATGCACCAAGAGCTTGTAACACTCCAAAGAGAAAGGAAGAATTGAAATCGCATCATATGACTCCTTTAATAAAACATTCAAATAACTGTTAATGTTGTAAAATTTGTCAGTTATGAAGTGAATTCAATTTCATTTAAACGCAGCTTTAAAGAAGATAGTCAATATTCCACTTAATTCAGTTTAAGAAAGGTAAAAAGTAAAAAAAAAAAAAGTTTGGGGTCAGTTTTTTTAGGGAAATTGTTTTTTTTATTAATCAGGGATGCGTTAAATTGTTTAAAAATAAAACTGTGATATATTGTAGAAATACAATTTATCACAGTTTCCACAAAAATTTCCGGCAACACGACTGTTTTCAACATTGATAATAATCAGAAATGTTTCTTGAGCAGCAAATCCACATATCAGAATGATTTCTGAAGATCATGTGACACTGAAGACTGGAGTAATGATGCTGAAAATTCAGCTTTGATCACAGGAATAAATTACATTTTAAAATCTGTACAAATAGAAAACAGATTTTAAATAGTAATAATATTTCAATATTTGTTGCTGATTTTACTGTATTTTTAATCAAATAAATGCAGCCTTTTTACCAACCCCAAACTTTTTAAAGGTAGTAAACACAGCAAAATCTTCCCATGGTAGTCATTTCTATAAATAACACAGATCTTGAGGGTCGAAGTCTACTGTAATGACACATTTGCATTTCCTCTCTTCTTTGTGTCATCTACTAAAATACACACTGCAGTACATCATGCTCACACCCATAATACCACAAACCATTCTTTACAGAGTATCTCCACACATTGCATTTTACTGCGCTGTACATCTGTGTTTATGGTCTTGCTTTAGGGACAGTTTCCTTTCACTTTCTCTTTGTCTTATTGTAATGTGAAGAGTTGCTCTTAACTTATCTTGACAGATTGCAGCTTCAGATGCCTTAGACGACCTTTAATTAGTGCCCTGAAATGTGATTAGATGGTTGCTCTCTGCAGATCAGATGAGGATGTCTCGGAGAGAAGAGTGAGGACTGAAGAAGGCATTAGAAGAGTAATGTTGCAGCACAATGAGCCTAAAACTGCTGATGTTTTGCTAAAATCATGCATCCACCGCTTCTACGGGCGGCTTTGACCATTGCATTTTAAATAGTTAATAGTTTTTGCTTGTTTTTCATTATAGAATAGTTCTAGACTTTGTCTAGCTGTGTTTTTTATTGCAAGAGACTTGCATAAACGGCCTTAAGAATTGTCAGATTATGGTCAGCTAATAATAAAGCCAGCCGAATTCAGACTCACTCGCTATTGCATTTTGAATTGACATAGTTTTGCTTTAATGGATGTTATGTTTGTTACAATTGAAGTATGTTTTATGTGTAGAGACAACAAAAATTAGATAAATAAATTAGTATCAAATTAGCAAGTGCTCCCTGTGGTTTTCTGCAAAATGAATGCTTAGTGGTTTAATGTTTGAAAATAAAAAAATGAAAACAATTATTAGCATTGTAATTGTACCATTGTACTGTAAAATCAAATATGATATATATTTTTTTAAATACTTGGATTTTAATTTTACTATGAAATATTGCAATTGTAATATTTCTTATTTTTTAAATATTTTTATTTAGTAGTAGTAGTAATAACAACAAAAACAATAATAATACTAGTAATAATAATTATTATTATTATTATTTATTATTATTATTATTGCTGTTGTTGTATATTCATATTTATGTATGCTTCCTTTTTTGCCTTTAATTTTTATTTAGTAGTAGTAGTAGTAATAACAACAAAAACAATAATAATAGTAGTAATAATAATAATTATTATTATTATTGCTGTTGTTGTATATTCATATTTATGTATGCTTCCTTTTTTGCCTTTAATTTTTATTTAGTAGTAGTAGTAGTAGTAGTAGTAGTAATAACAACAAAAACAATAATAATAGTAGTAATAATAATAATTATTATTATTATTATTGCTGTTGTTGTATATTCATATTTATGTATGCTTCCTTTTTTGCCTTTAATTTAACAATTAATATTTTTGCATTTCTATTTGGACACCATAATCCCAGAAATTACACACTTCATCTTTAAAGTTTACATGTTTCTGAGATGATTTTCATGTGAAATCAGAAAAAATAGACGGGGTCATTAATGCAGTGATCTCTGTGAATTTTCCCGTGATCCCTCGTGACAGAATACAGCTCAGCTTTGTGTAGCTGGACCACACCTTATCAGAGCGCCGATTCAAAGCAGTGGTCCGCCTTATCTAGACCCAACAGGACGACTGATCCTGTTGCCATGACAACCGCTCCACCAGGTGTTTATGGAGATGAAGTGCTGTGTTTGCCTGTAATTACCTGAGCTCAACTGCGGAAGGCTTCCACGCTTCAGCAGACGCGGCACACGCCTGTAGACGACAGTCATCTGGAAGCAACAATCAGCCGAGTCTGAACGCCTCCTTGGACAAAATGCATTTGTTCGCTGAGAATGTATGCATGATGCATGCTGGGGGTTGATGCTTGCATGCTTTTCATGCACCAGGTTTGACCCCTTAACTGTGCCATTAGCTGGCATTTCTGTCAGGTTTCAGACATTCAGGCCTTATTTGACAGGACGGTTCTGGATCTTTCACTTGTTTTGTCAGATTTGCCTGATTGCATGTTTAGACTGGCTCATTTTTCCTCATGTTTACATTAGTGGCTCCTTTTTCTTTCATGTGAAATTTTTGTTTATTGCAGGCAGACGACTGTGGCTCAATTCTGAAGAAACAGCAGTCGTGTTGTCGATATTGTGGCAGTCTTTCTGGTGCCGTTTTTACCAGTTGTTGAGACCGCATGCACAGTACCCCTTTTTTTTTTTTACAATTTGTTTCTTTATTTATTTATATACAGCTTTTTATTCAGCTGAAAATGTCTGTTGGACTTGGGTAATTTTACCCAAGTTTTGGCACACTGTTATAAATATATTAAGATTTTGGACACACTAATTTGTATTTTGCATGCTTCCATTACCTGGATAGTAATGGAATTGGGATGTAGCGTGAGAAACCGAACACATTCAATCAGCTTACGCTGTTTTCTGTTGTTTTTTAATTTTTCAGGCCCTGCAGAAGTTGGCGAGTCAGTATTTGAAGAGGGACTGGCCTGGGATCAAACCAGACGACCAGAGGACAGATTACAGGTGAATAAAAAAATCATCTTTCACAAGTTTCCCTATGAGTGCTTTATAGCGATAGTTTGTGTTTCTTGAATCTTACAACACAGCCATAACTAAGTTTCAGAGTTGTCTAGTGATTAGTTTCATTGTGATTTTACTGTCGAAAATAGAAATGTCGATGCAACATTTAAAAAAAATCAACATTTTAAAGGTGTATTTCACCCAGAAATTAAAATTTGTCATCATTTACTCACCCTCTTGCCGTTCCAAATCTGTATGATTTTTTTTATACTGCTGAGCACAAGATATTTTAAAGAATGTTGGTAACCAAACTCTATTGGGACCAGAAACTGTTTGGTTACCCACATTCTTTAAAATATTCAAAAGAAATAAATTTATACAGGTTTGTAACAACTTACATGTAACGGTGAGGCAATGACAAAAAAGTTCATATTTGGGTGAACTATACCTTTAAGAGTGCAGTTTTATTTTTTGATTGACGATTGACGCTTTGCATGGTAATGAAAATTTGGATAGCTGTTTGAAATGAACTACATGAAGTAAATCAAATGGCTGCTCCACTACATTGATTAGAAGCCAATCTATCCAGTTTTTTTTTTTTAAATATACACTTTTCCTTAGTTTTTTTTTGTTGTTTGTTTTTTCATGTAGACCACTATAATAATGCAACAAGTATGAAATGTTTACTTTACCTTGAGTAAGTTCATTATGATCATGACTGACCATGTGTGAAGCAAACTTCCAGTTTAGAAGGACGACCTGTGAATAAATTGTCATCTGATTGCAGTCCAAGTTTTGTTGCGAAGGAACTGTGCCAATCTGTTTTTTTTTTACTGTACATGTAATCAGAAACTGTCTAAATAGGGCTGTTGCTTTTGTTTGCATGGGAATAGCGCTCCATAAATAGTGTTTGCAATCAGTAACCGTGTTTTTCCTGCTGCAGGAATGTATATGGAGTGTGGCGGGCTTATCTTGAAGGCACCGTGCAGGTGACCCAGTCTCGACTCAATGTCTGCGAGAACTACAAGAACGAGATCTCGGACCCCGCCAAAACTTTACGCCTCTACAAAGAACAGCAGCTGAAAAAGGTACCGACATCGGTCCTCGGTCCTGTGCCCCGATCCTTCATGTAATTCTCTAACATCCCCCCTCTCTCGCTCTCTCTCTGCTGTCCCACGACGGTCGCCCGCAGTGCATTGAGCAGCTGGGTCGGATCCAGGCAGAGCTCCAGGATTCAGTGAAGGATCTGGCCAAGTCCAAAAAGAAATACTTTGAGCTGGAGCAGATGGCCCAGGCTGTGCGGGAAAAGGCCGACATTGAGTCCAAGTAAGTGCGTCTGGTAATGCAGGTGCAAACAGTCCCAGAGGTGCCCGGATCAGAAACACACACTTCACAAGTGCTTGTCCCATTAATTGAGTCCCGTTAGTTAATGAATAACCACTACATTCTCAGAAAACAAATGTACGAAGCTGTCACTGGGGCGGTACGCTAAGTACTTCTTTGTACCATATTTACCCCTAAATGATACATATTAGTACCTTTTGAAAGTCAAGTTACGCCTTATCAGTTTATGCATTCCCTGGGAATCAAACCCATGGCCTTGGTGTTGGTAGCGCTATGCTCTGCTGGAATGCCTTTTCCATAAAAATGTGCAAAGCTGAGAATTGTATAATTTTATTATTTTTCAGTACAGCTTAAATCCTTTTACATTTACTGTATTTACATTACACTGGGAATCGAACCCACGACCAGCAACATGCATTGCATTAGGAGTATGGTTTATCAGATCATATGTTCCCTGGGAATCAAACCCATGACTTTGGTGCTCTGCTGGAATGCTCTGCTGAAATGCCTTTTCCCATCAAAATGTGCACATCTGAGAATTGTAATTTCATTATTTTTCAGTAGAGCTTAAATCATTTTACATAACATTGGGAGTCAAACCCATGACCATGACATTGTAAGCACTGTGCTCCACTGTTTGAGCTTTTTGAGCCTTTTCATTAAAATATGCATATCTTGGCATTGCAATCAAATTATTTTTCAGTAGAGCTTAAATCCTTTTATTTCCATTTCCATTTGTGTATTTGCCAAACACTTTTATGCAAAGCAACATGCATTGCAATAAAAGTATGCTTTATCAGTTCATACTTTCCTGGGAATCAAATCTATGACTATGGTATTGCTTGAACCATGCTCTGCTGTTTGAGCTACAGGAATGCCTTGCGTATAAATTTTTTTTTTTTAATATTGTTTTGGTATTGTTGTTATTTTGCACATATTTACATTACATTCGGATTCGAACCCATGATCTTGGCATTGCTAGTGCTCTGCTCTACTGTTTGAGCTTTTTAAAACTTTTTTCCCAAAAAGTGTGCATATCTTGGTAATTTTATTATTTTTCAGTAGAGCGTAAATCCTTTTACTTTATATTTAAATGTATGCATTTGGCACACTTTTATGTGGAGCGACTTACATTACGTTCAAGGTACTCTTTATCAGTTCATGCAATCCCTGGGAATAAAACCCATGACCTTGGCATTGCTAGCACCATTCTCTACTCTCACCGTGCTTTACTGTTTGAGCCACAGGAATGCCTTTTCTATAAAAATATGTATACCTTGTAGCATTAATCCTTTTACATTTGCATTTGTGTATTTGGCTGACACTATCATGCAAAGCGACGTACATTGCATTCAAGGTATGCTTTTTAAGTTCAGGAATCAAACCCATGATATTGGCATTGCTAGCACCATGCTCTACTCTTTGAGCTTTTTGAGCCTTTTCCATAAAAATATGCATATTTGGGTACTGTAATTTAAAAATGTTATTACGCTGAGCACTTTTCCACCTTATCAAAGATATTAGGCTCAGAATCCCAAACTCAAAGCATTAAAAGCGCCAAAGAATATAAAAGATGTGGCATTGTGTTGAGATGCCTTCATTAAATATGCATTTCCGTGGCTGATACTTAAGCCCCCTGTAGGGAATACCCCACTCTGTTCAAAGCAATTTATTAGCCCGATGCAGAATTTGTTAAACACACTCAACCATCTCTCTCCATCTTCAAGGGCCATTTGTACCCACACTACTATTGCCATTTCAAAGTCTCTGCCAAGACCGGATTAGACAGAGAGGCGAAAGACGAGTCCAGTGGCGCGGTGTTGTGAGCTCCTCGCTCAGTTCTTCTATTGATTTTGTCTATCGATGTTGTGCTGCTTAGCATGGCAGGCAGTAAAGCTGAATTAGAATCAGTTATTGTTCTCAGCGGTAGAAGGAAGATGGGAGAGAATCTGTCTTGTGTTCTTAATTTCATGCAAACTTGATGAATCAAATTGTATCAGACCCCAAAACAACTCTGATCTCTAATGAATACGGCTTATGTAGACATAATTTCTGAATCCAGATGTAAATTTGACATAAACAGAAAGTTAGATGTTAAGATTAACATTTTGATGGTTTGTGCAATTTTGTCCATCCTTTTATGGTTTTGGCATTTGAATTTGAACATAGATGGTTATAAAAAAAACTACTTTTGGTTTCAAAGAATATAGTAGTTCACCCAGAAATGATTCATCATAATGTTATTCCAAATCCAAATGGCAAAAGTTGTAGTTTTTGACATCAATGTCACCAAATGGCTTTGGTTTTAAATCAGAATATACAGAAGCATGAATGAGAGCCACAGTGGAAGGCAGTGATATTTTAATATTATTATACTATTATAGTATTTATTAATATTTTGAATTAGCAGTTATTTTAGTATTCTCAGTTGTCATTTTAATTGTAGTTTTAGTAATTTTGTTACATGTGTTTGTAATTTTTATACGGTACATTTTTGTATGTGTATGTATATGTAAAATACATGTAAAAAAAACATGTAAGAACAAGAACTGAAATAAAAATAAAGTAAATGTTTTCACATTTATTTTTATTTCAGTTCTTATTTTTCATTTTAGTACTTCAATTTCATTTTTTTTTAATGATGTCAAAAGATGTGGAATATAGTGCACAAGTTATAATTCACTTTAAATGTTTTTCTCCATCTATGGAGCTTCTGATCTGTTCTCTATGAAATGTCATTGTATTGTACATGTAAGAACAAGAACTGAAATAAAAATAAAGTAAATGTTTTCACATTTATTTTTATTTCAGTTCTTATTTTTCATTTTAGTACTTCAATTTCATTTTTTTAATGATGTCAAAAGATGTGGAATATAGTGCACAAGTTATAATTCACTTTAAATGTTTTTCTCCATCTATGGAGCTTCTGATCTGTTCTCTATGAAATGTCATTGTATTGTGAAGAGCAGTGTGCACATTGTTCAAAATATCTCCTGTTATGTTTCAGAAAGTCATACAGGTTTGAAATGAGATGAGAGTGAATAAATGATTCTCTTTTTTAGGTGAACTTTTCCTTTAAGAGAAGAAGTCATATCAGCAATGGCAAAGCCAGATTCATGCCAGCTTTGTAAAGCCTCTTCCTTCCTTTCACAGGTTGCAGGAGTGATCCACTCTAGTTTGATTTATAATGTCTGTTTCCTCCTCGACACAAATCTGGGATGGTTTTGATCTAGGCTTTCATTTATCCTGCCTATTCCTTCCGCCAGGTCTGATATATCTGTGATTTATAATACCTGCTCTGTGTTCTCTCAGGTCGAAGCTGGGTCTGTTCCAGTCCCGGATAAGTTTACAGAAGGCCAGTGTGAAGGTAAACACCACCGTCTGTCTCTCTGAATTATACGGTGTTGGAATGACTTGACAATGTGTAAATGATGACAAAATTGTAATTTATAGATGGACTGTCCCTTTAAATGGATGTTCCAGAGGCTTGTGTTTTGCACTTCTTGAAGTTTTGGACCTTATTTGTGTGTTTCAGTTGAAAGCCAAGAGGAGCGATTGTAACTCCAAAGCAACCCACGCGAGGAACGAGTATCTTCTCACATTGGCGGCTGCCAACGCACATCACGACCGCTACTACCAGACCGACCTGGTCAACTGCATCAAGGTGAGCACCATGATCAGCGATGCAGCGTTATTTTAGTATTTATATACTATTATAGTATTTACTTATTTATTTTTTTATAATATGTATTAATATTTTTTTCTTAATTTTGTTACATGCTTTTGTCATTTTTAATAGTTTTTCATTTATTTATTATTTCTATTTAGGTATGATTTTTTTTATTTCAGTTGTAGTTTTATTAATTTTAGTACTTCAGCTTAAATTTATTTATTTCAGTTGTTTAAGTATTGTATACTATTTCAGTTTGATTTCAAACACCAAAAATAGTTGATAATAAAATAAAAAAAATAAAAAATTTTTTTAAATAGTTTTAGTTAATGATAACAACACTGCTGCGATGACCTCTGAACCTAGCATCATAAATGCATGAAAGTAATTGTTTATTAAAGCCCTTAATTAATTCTTCAGTTTAAAAAAAAACTTGCGTTGATGTTGTCTAAATTGTCATTTTAAGGACTTTCATGGTGGATGATCTTCTGCATTAACAGTGCTTGACTTAATTTGACTGAATATTAGAATATTGATTTTCATGATTTCTGATTTGTTGGTTATGTATTTACATGAGTCATGTGTGTTGGCATGAATCTAGTACAGTGGGTCAGACAATGATGTAATCTATGGGCAGATCAAACTATGTACTTCCTGTGTAGATTTCCTCACAGGAAAAAGCTCCCTTGCAGAGAGAAATAGCTGCATGCTTTCTTTCTCTGCTCTTTTACTGGATAAGAGTGCTCTAGTCTTATGTCACTGAGTGTGTTTGCAGGCAATAAGTTGTAAAAACTACTTTACCGCCATTCTGGTGTGTGCATTTGTGTTTGTGTTTTAAAAACTGAGAAAAGTGATTAAATCTCCTCAGGTATTTGTAATAAGCTGATTTGTGGTAGTTATCATGTATCATGTTGTGCATGTAAACACACTGGCTGACTGGAGACGGTATTCCGCTTGCTTTCTTGTGCAGATGTTAAATGCTTGTAATAGCTGATTACATAACTGAATGTTTGGTGTTTGTGGTCCAGCATATCTGGCTGTGTGTGTAATAGACAGAAGTTGGCTAGAACATCGAAACAAGTCTGGTATGTGTTCACAGCGCCTCCATGCACATGGGACTTTATATTTTAGTGACTGTCAGGGTTATTATAGTTAACTAAACTAAAACTAAAACCAGAAAAAAATAATTTCTCATCTTGGAAATAAATAAAAAAATGTTAACTGAAATAAAAGAAAATATATATATTAAGTATAATAAGTGTGTGTGTGTGTGTATTATACAAATATTTATAATTATTTTTTTCAGCTAGTTGGCAACATTTCTAATTTTCTCATTTAGTTTAACTTGATGTACTAAAATAACTCAAATTAAAACTGAAATGAAAATAATAATATATAGACATATACAAAAAAAACTAAATAAAAATTACAGAAACACCGCAAATTACTAAAACTTTAACAAAAAAATATAAAAATAAAAACTAATTCAAAATATGAAAAAAAAAATAATAATTATAATAGTATCTTGATGAGCTGCGAAAAAATAAGTCAGTTTTGCACTGGATGAATGGATAAAACATTTAGTTTAATATAATGAAATATTTATGTTTTATATTTTTGTCCGAATGCACATCTCCATCAATAGAGCCAGATGGTGTAGTTAAGAGTTCGCAAGCAGGTGTTAACAGCACTGTGCTTAACCAACCAAACCATGACCTTTTAGTGGCGTCAGCCGAAAAGGAAATGAATTTCAGAGGTGGAGCAGGTTATTACACTTTGATGAAAGAGATGAGGACGATTGTTTTCCCCCTTTGGAATAATGTGCACTGATGAATCATTCACAGTAAAACCAGAAGCATCTATTAGGACTATAAATAGGGTAATTTTGATTTAACGGGGTCATATGATGCTGCTAAAAAGAACATTATTTTGTGTATTTGGTGTAATGAAGTGTTTATGCGGTTTAAGGTTCAAAAAACACATTTTCCACATACTGTACATTATTGTTTCTCTTCTATGTCCCGCCTTTCTGAAACGCGGCGATTTTTAAAAAGCTCATCGTCTGAAAAAGCGAGGTGTGCTCTGATTGGTTAGCTATCCAGTGCATTGTGATTGGCCGAATTCCTCAAGCGTGTGATGGAAATGTTACGCCCCTCACTATGCTTTAATGTTGGCTTTAACAAACCTCATGTATGGTCTGAGCACTGAGCCCGTTTGCTAAGACATTTTTATCCAATTATTCAGGCCTTGAAATATGACGAGTGTCTGCTGATGCTGTGTGGTCCGGTCAGTGGATGTATGTGCCAGTATCTCCACAGACTGACAGACAGCCGCTCCACTCATGGCCTTATTTAGTGATACAAACCCTCTCGAATTCTTCAACATCTTTCTTAATCTTGGACCTTTGGGAACAGATATCTGGGAGAATGTGCTGGCAAAACGACCGCCACATCCCCAAAGATACACATCACCCTTTAGGCAAACTTTTCTAAATCTGACATCAGAGTACATGCTTGTCAAATTCGAAATTAGAAGCTTTATATTAAATGATTTTCAGAAGTTTTCTTTGTAACTGCATAAGTGATGCATGAGTGATGCATTTCAAACAGACTGTTGCAAGAGACTTAAAAAGACACATGGCATCATGGGTGATGGAGAATTGAAACAGATGAACAAACTAAAGTGATACACTTTTAAAGGTGACAAAGTGAAACAAATGACACACCCTTAACCATGATGAAAGTCACTCTTATAAAAGTCACACATATTTTGCAGCAACAAATACAAGGCACCATTATTCAAGACACAATTATATATATATATATATATATATATATATATATATATATATATATATATATATATAGAGATAGAGATATATTTTTTCATCAATTAGTATGGTGTATTAGTGTAACTCTATTTATAGTTCCAAGCAACTTGCATTTACATTTATTCATTTAACAGATGCTTTTATCCAAAGCACCATTAGGCAGCAGCTTTAATTTTAATGTATTTTTTTGGAAAATTTATTTAGTAAGATGTCATTAGAAAGACCTTTAAAATGTACATTTGGAAATGTAATTTGTATAGGTTTTATAGATTTTCTATATGAAGACTATTTGTTTATTTGTTTATTTTAATTTTTTTGTAATCTTATTTTGTTATTTTACTTTGTTTTAATGTATCACTGGTATACTGTTGTAGTTTTTTATTAATATTTTGAATTTTTTATATATTTTCTGTTTTCATTTTAGTTACAGTTCTAGTATTTTTGTTTGTTTTTAGTTGTTTTTTGTTTGTCAATTTTATTTTTTTCTATGTCAGTATAGTTTTTAAATTTTTATTTCAGATTTAGTACATCAAGTTTTTTATTTTATTTGAGTTCAAATGTATTTGTAGTTTTTAGTTTTAGTTAACTATAATAATCCTGGTTTGCTTTCAGTTTAATTAAATTTTTAATTAAAGCAACTTCACAGGTCACAGGTGTGCACATATCAGCCGTTTTGTTAATTTCATTTTTTTTTTTTTTGGTTTGTATCAGATTGTTAATCTGTTGTTTAAATCGTTCTCTTGTATTCCTGCACTTTTACTCATGATCAGACCAGACAAGCATTTAAGGTGCATTTTTCCACTTGATCTGGTCTCATACGTCTCATAATGCAACTATTAGCTTTGTTTCTCCACTGAGTCCAGAGCCGAACTGCTAGTCTCCTCCTGTTCTTACTGGAGAACATCATCTGTGTTCCACCCGCTTCGTGTCTTACCGCAAGCTATATGAATGCAGTCTGAATGAGAGCGAGAGAGAGAATCTGGTTTAAATTATTGATAGATGGAGAATCTGCGCTTCAGGCTCCACCAGCTGCCGAACGACCGGCCTTCTACAGCCCTTCTCCTCATCTCCCATTGGCTGAGCCATAACCTTGGTTACGGTCAATATTCTATAGCTCTAAATCTACGACTTGATTATGAGAATAGTCTCATCAGTCACATTTCCAGATGTATTTTTGGATATATATTCCATTGCTGTCAGGGCGGATTTAAGGACTTCTTTTTCCCTGACTTCTCCAATTTTTCTTTTCTTTGCATATTTTTTCCTCATAAGTGTTTCCAGGTTCATTTCGCCATGTGTCTGTGGCAATTGCTCAGTAGCGCCCCCTGCTTTATAAACCTCAATTTGGTGGTCCACATATATATCAGGTTCATTTACAAGTTCATTTTGCTTGTTCCTCAGGGTTTTTTAGTATTTTACAAGCAGCAATCACAGAGTAATGCAATTCAACATCGGACCTGCATTCAGCACTTAAATATAGCGTTTTAAAACTTTATTGCAGTGTTCTTTGCCATGTAGTTTTCAATGTGCACTTATTTTTTACAAAGAAAGCACATTGATACAAAAATATTTTTGTGAAAACTGACATTTTTGTTTTGAGCTTGATGTACATTTCCATAAAAAATCTTGAATCATTTCTTTAAATTGAACACAATTTCAAACTTTCTAAACTGCAAGATCTGTTGCAACACTGTTTTTTGCAAAGAAGCCTCTGATTTCACATTGCATCGTCCTGTATTGAGTAAGTCTGTCTTTTAGTCCTTATTGTGCCTTAAATGTTTAACGGCACCTCAGAAGAACACGAAAGGGGATTTTCTGCTTTCAAGATTGCCCGTGGGTTTTCCCCGCAGTTTGTCATTGTTGTATTGTTTTGTACTTGTAAATATGAGGAAAGAGGTGAGAGCAGCTTCATGTCAGATGTGTGCGTTTTGCATGCATTCTTAGCTCTTATTCCTGTTTTTGTGTGTGAACCAGCCGTCATCTACAAACACCATCAGCATCGTGTCACACTTCTGCTTTGTTTTTTATAGAAAGTTGACACTTACTGAACTCTGAAAAATTGTGGCCTCCCTAGAAACACCCAAATGCACACATATATAGCTTATGTAGAACTTACATGTCTGCTGAAAGCTTAAAGGAGAAGCACGTCCAAAAATGGCAATTTTGACATCATTAACACACCCTCATGTTGTTCCAAACCTGTATGGCTTTTTCACCTCATCTTGTGACCAATTAATGACCAATATCTATTATCATACAGGCTTGAAACAACATGAGGGTGAGTAAATGATGTGAAAGTGAATTAACCATTTAAATCACTACTATTTACACTACCATTCAATGGGTCAAAGTATCCTGAAAAAAAGGTGTATATATCACACAAAAATATAAAGTAGCACAATTTTCTAAATTAATCAGAAATGTTTCTTGAGCAGTAAATCAGCATATTAGAATGATTTCTGAAGATCATGTGACACTGAAGACTGGAGTGATGATGCTGAAAATTCAGTTTTGTATCACAGGAATAAATTACATATTCAAATATATTCAAATAGAAAACAATTTCAATTTCAATTATTTGAAATTGTAATAATGTTTCACATTATTACTGTTTTACTGTATTTTTAATTTAATGCAGCCTTGGTGAGCAGAAGAGACTTCTTTCAGAAATATCAAAACATCTTACAGTCTTTTGAATGGTAGTGTATAATGTTGAATATTAACTTGCGTTATAAATAACTATAATGATTTAATTTAATTTAGGTTAAAGATTTTTTTTCCCTCACATTATAGACTTGGTATAAAATGTATAAAATAACTTGCATAATCATTTTGCTAGCCTCTATTTATAGCCAGCAGGCGGCCGTTGTTCACCACAGGTTCATATCGAGTCTTAGAGAAATCTTCCTGTGTGTTTGTGTTTGTTTATATTTATGTTTATGTTTATGTTTGTGTTTGTGTGTGTGTGTGTGTGTGTGTGTGTGTGTGTGTGTGTGTGTGTGTGTGTGTGTGTGTGTGTGTGTGTGTGTGTGTGTGTGTGTCTGTTTATGTGTGTGTGTTTGTGTTTGTTTATGTGTTTATGTGTGTGTGTGTGTGTTTATGTGTTTGTGTGTGTTTGTTTATGTGTGTGTGTGTGTGTGTGTGTTTATGTGTGTGTGTGTGTGCCTGTTTATGTGTGTGTGTTTGTGTTTGTTTATGTGTTTATGTGTGTGTGTGTTTATGTGTTTGTGTGTGTTTGTTTATGTGTGTGTGTGTGTGTGGTGAGGGGTTCATTAATTCCCTGCAGGAGCCATTGGGGTGTAAAGTGAAGCATTTATTATGCAGCAGAAGTGTTTGTTCAGCTGATGCGTGTGTTTGCTTTGTCTTTTCCTGTGTTGTGTGTGTATGCATGTGTTCCCGTCCGTCCGGGTGTGCTCATAACCACTGGCCACGTGAATTATAGTTTTTCACACATGGAGACACATTTGGGTGTGTTTTCAGAGGGTTTGTGAATGCACAGCCTTGACAAAACAAGCAAGCTTAAAGGAATAGTTCACCCTAAAAAATTGGGGACAGAAATGTAGCATTACTTGACTTGCTCACAACTTGCTCTCTGCAGTGAATGGGTGCCATCAGAATGAGAGTCCAAACAGCTGATAAAAACTTCACAATAATCCACAAGTAATCCACTCCATTCCAGTCCATCAGTTAATGTCTTGTGAAGTGAAAAGCTGCATGTTTATTATAAATGGCTAAATATTGCTTTCTCCAGTGAAAAAGTCATCTGGTCTGAATCAGGAGAAAGATCTGCACAGATCAAGCACCGTTTACAAACCAAAGCAATCCAAAACAGTTCCAAATAAATTTGTCTGTGCATATGTGTGGATTTGGATTTTTATGTGAGAGGGCAACAGAAGATGGACTTTTCACTGGTGGAAGTGTTATTATGGATAGAGAATTTGCATTTTAGCTGGAAGCAACAGTTTGAAGTTAAAATGCCTTAATGAACACGCAGCTTTTCACAAGCTGTTAACTGATAGACTGGAGTGGTGTGGATTACTGATGTTTTTATCAGCTGTTTGGACTCTCATTCTGACGGCACCCATTCACTGCAGAGGATGCATTGCTGAGCAAGTGATGGAATGCTACACTTCTCCAAATCTGATGAAGAAACAAACTCATCTACATCTTGGATGTCCTGATGGTGAGTGCATTTTCATTTTTGGCTGAAGTACTCCTTTTAAAGTCTCTTGCAACTTTGAAAGGCTAGAAAAGCACAGCAAGCTGGTCCCGTTGCTCTCAGTCCACGGCTCTCACACACGGGTGTTACAGAGTTTGAGTGTGGTGGGTGGAGGTAGACATGATCCTATCAGAAGGAAGCATGGCCTCCCTTTCTCCATCTCTCTCACGCATACGACTCTCAAGTGCTTCCTGACACCTGCTGTAACCCGACGGAGCGGCTCGTGGTCGGGTCTGTCTCATTTCCAGCTCACTCGTACAAATCAAAGCCCGTTTCCAAAATGCATCCCCTCCCAGTGCTGCTGAACATGGAGGGAGCGGGAGAGAGGGAGACGGAGGGGGAAAGCAGAGGTTTCGAGTTTTGTTTTTGCACGTCGAGGCCTTGGAATCTGAACCAGCTAACCTTTCCCAGCAGCTGCTGCTGTTTGAACAGTCTGCTCTGATCCGAGCGTCACACAGTCCGTCTGTTCAACGCTCGTTTGGCCACAAGGAGGCCGACGGGACGCTCTGTCCTTCTTTCTGTCGCTCATACAAACACTGTGTTTTGTTTTGGTCATTTTTCGATCATTTAATCATTCTGTTGGTTCATTCTGTCTATTGTTTTTAATATCTTTCTGTTACTTTCTATTGTTTTAAATTCCCTATCATTCTTTCTATAGTTCTGTTGTTTTGTTTCTTGTTCTTTTTGTTATTGTATCCGTGTCATTTCATCTATCGTTCAGCGCTTTCTAATTCTGGTTCTTCTATCATTTTTCTATATTTTCAGTTATATGTCATTTTTCAATCATTCCGTCTGACATTCTTTTTGTCAGTCAATATTTCTATCATGTTGCTCTGTCTGTGGTTATCTAATTCTCTGTCATTTCATCCTGTCAGTTTTTCTTTGTATCTTTCTATCCTTTTTAATTTGATTTACATATCATTCTACTGTTATTTATCATCCCTTCCATCACTGTATATTTTTTTATATTCTGTCATATAGTTTTTTTTATATTTCTTTCATCCCGTCAACCATTCTTTGTTTTTCCTTATTCTACCATATCTGTTTTAATCATTCTTTGTCATTTTATCTATCGTTCTTTGTATCATTCTGTTGTTTTTCTATATTTTTCTGCCTATTGTTCTATCTTTCTGTCATTTTTGTCTATTGTTCTGTCTTCCTGTCTGTCATTCTATCGTTCTGTTGTTCTTTTTTTATGTTTCTGTCATTCTATCTATTTTTCTTCCTATCTGTCATTCTGTCATTCTATTGTTCTGTAAGCCATTCTGTCATTTTTGTGCATAATTCTGTCTGTCGTTGACCATTTTTTTTGTCTATAGTTCTGTCTTCCTGTGTCATTCTATCATTCTGTTGTTGTGTTTTATAGTTCTGTCATTCTGTTTATTTTTTTCCCTCCTATCTGTCATTCTATTGTTCTGACAACCATTCTGTCATTTTTTTGTACATAATTCTGTCTGTCTGTTTTGTTGTTCTGTCTGTTTGTCTATTTTTGTCTAGTAGTAGTATGTCTATCATTCTCGTTTCACTCTTTGAAGCTCAAGGTCATTTGTTATTTCTTCAGTTCAAACACAGAGTATGTAATTCGTCTTTCTCTTTCTCTCTAGGGTCTGGAGGGGAACATATACGATCATGTGAAGGATTATCTGATATCCTTTTGTCGGACCGAGCTGGAAGCTTTTCAAGCCGTCCACAGCACCTTCCAGTTCCTGCTGGAGAAGTCCAGTCGAGTGAGTCTCTCTCTCTCCTTTCTTAGTTTCATCATTCTCTCAATTTCCTTCTTCATTCCCAGAAATAGTTTCCCTTTGCCAGCACCTCATTATCGGCTCCCCTATGAAGAAATCCCCTCACTCACACACACACACACACACACACACACACACATCAATAATCCACTGCGCTGACAAACACATCTGTCTGAGCACTATTTCACTGCCCAAGGGGGCCTAATTTTACATACCACTATTGTGACGCATGTGTGAGAGAGAGAGAGATACGCAAGGATCTTTCCTGCACAAGATCTTAAAGGGATAGTTCATGCAAAAATTAGCATTTTGTCATCATTTACTCACCCTTATGTCATTACAAACCTGTATGACATTCTTTCTTCTGCAGAACACAAAAGATATTTTGAAGAATGTTAACATTTATTGTGCACCAAAAAATCTGTCAAAATCATGTTCCAAGAAGAAAGGAAAAAAGTCAGTTTTTGGGTGAACTGTCCCTTTAAAGGAACATTTTTGCATTTCAGATACACTTGCATCATCTTGATATGTTTGTTAATTAGTTGTGTTTTTTATCTCCAGGTGATGCAGGACTTCAACCAGCAGCTGTTCCTGCAGGAGAACCCAGTGTTTCACAAAGCACAAGACTTCCAGTTCCAGCCCAGCGATAGCGATACAGTGAGTTTCGTGCATGCATGTTTACGAACTTCACTGCAATCAAGGAATCATGCACTACTGTTCAAAAGATTTGAATTAGTACGATTTTTTTTTTTAAGAAATTAGTACGTTTTCTTTTCCAGCTGGGAGGTGTTAAATAGATCAAAAGTGACTGTAAAGACATTTATAATGTTATGGTTTCAATTTTGTTCGTCAAAGAATCCTGAAAAATGCAATTTATCATAGTTTCCACAAAAAGTATGAAGCAGCACAACTGTTTTCAACATTGATAATAATCAGAAATGTTTCTTGAGCAGCAAATCAGCATATTAGAATGATTTCTGAAGATCATGTGATACTGAAGACTTGAGGAATGATGCTGAAACTACAGCTTTGATCATGAGAATAAATTACATTTTAAATTATATCACAGTTGAAAATAGATATTATAAATTGTAATAATATTTTAATAAATGCAGTCTTGGTGAGAACATTAAACCAACCTGGAATTTTGAACAGTAGTGTATGTTTACAGAAAAAATGTGTTTTAGCCATAAAATCACTTTAGCTTGTGAATATCTGTATATCAATTCTCTGTCATCCCAAATTACATTTTGTTCAGTTTATACTATGTTATGGCAGGGAATCTTCCTTCAGTTTTCACCTAAACATCTTATTTTTAGTTGGTTTCATTATTTAGAGTATCAGCGCTCTCTCTTCCGGTCTTGGTCTTCTCTCTGTTGTTCTCTCTATTTAAAGGTTTAAATTGTGTTCAAACGTTTCAGATTTTATTCAGCGCTAACAACATCATCGACACTTATCTCACAACTCTGCAGAAAAAACTCACAAATTTCATCACCTTTTATTTTTAGCCTGGTGCATCTGAGAGTCTCTGGGAACAGAATTTCTTGTTCCTGTGGTGATGAAGAAACGCCCCGCTGTTGAAACTCTCGTCTGTCTCTGCTCGGGCTGTAATCACCACTCGTTTTGTGAACGTTCTCTCGTTACGCTTCAGTGTGTTTGATATTTAGTTTGTGTTCTCTCAGCCGTAGCGTTCCTCTTTGTATCTGTCTACGTTCTTCTATCCTATTTGAAACTTTGATTTCAGTTTAGTGTGCTTTAATGGCGTAACAACTAACTTGATGACATTTTAACAGGCTAATTTAATACAGTGCCCACCGACCTATACATAAACTTCGTAATAAACAATTATCCTTCTGTCGGAGCAATTCAAGCTTGAAAGTACCGCTTAAATGAAAATCATGTTTGTGTGAGTCCGTGATCAATCCAGCCTGGTCAGTTAAATCTACACCAGAACACCTGTTAATATGAAATTGAATTATTTTGACTTCTAAAGCCATTTTTTATGTAAAATGTTCGGTTTTTAATTTAAGGTTTAATACTTGTTCAGGGTTTACACATCTGTCATAATAATGTGTTAAGGCTATTTTTGAAGGGCTTTTCTCAGTATTGTTTGTGAGTTGTTTTTTGTTTTTTTTAGATTTTGATAAGTTAGCATATTTTATTAAATTAATTATATTAATTAGCTGTAGAGTTACTAAAATGAATGATCTGATCGATGAATTGTTACTATACTATTTTTAACTATAGGTATTGGAATTAGCTTAGTAATGCGTTTTAGTGTGAATTTAATTTTAGTACCTTCAATAATTGTCAAATTATAAAAAATATATAATGTAAAAAAAAAAAAGAATGAAAAACTTTTCTTTGCTTTCACTCTTAATAAATTGTTCCCTGTTTTAATCTATTCTGTTTCACACTGTTTCTACAGTTTTATTGTTCTCATGTTATTGCTTCCTTAAGATTTGTTGCTTTGGAAGTCTTTTTGGATAATGTCTGCTAAATGAAAAAAAAGTACAAAAAAAGATTTCGACAGTTTCTCTTTACTACTTTATTTTGTGTGGATCGTAAAATACTCAACATGCTACTTTATATATTATTTAATAAAGTAATGTTAATTAACTTAAATCAAATCTTCATCTTTGGCCATCTATTTTAAAGTTTCTACATTATATTTAGTAGTAGCTTATCAGTGGTGACTATGTCAAGATGATGTCTATATGGCAGAAATGTACAGTAAAAATCATGCAGTTAGTTAATGACATGTAATCAAACAGACGGTGAACACTATTAACTGCAATGATTATATGTTGCAATTAAACTTCAATTAAATGAAGTTTAATTAAATTCTAATCAATTAAATTATTAACAGCAATTAATCAATCAGCATTTAAGTACACCCCAAGTAACTGTATGGTTAGCATTTGCTCTCTTTATCTTTTTCTCTCTCTTCCTTCCATCTTCCTGTAGTTCAGTGTTGAATCCTGTATTGTGATTGTCCTCTCTCACAGCTCTAGTAGTTAGTATGTATTGTGTTTGCTAGCGTTAACATCTCTAAACATCTTTCTGACTGCTTTGCTGTTTCTAACCCTGTTTTTCTGTCCTCTAACAGTCTGTTTCTAACCCTCTCTTAATCCCACTGCACGTGCGTGTGTGGTGTGTATGTATGTATGTGTGATATGCTCGCGTGTGTGTGTGTGTGTGTGTGTGTGTGTGTGTGTGTGTGAAAAATTCTTAATTATTCCAAAATTTGATTTGGTGTGTGTGTGTGGTGTGTGTGTGTGTGTATGTATGTGTGATATGCTCGCGTGTGTGTATGTGTGATATGCTCGTGTGTGTGTGTGTGTGTGTGTGTTTGTGTATGTGATATTCTCGTGTGTGTGTGTGTGTTTGTGTGCGTGTGTGTGTGTTTGTGTGTATGTGATATGCTTGTGTGTGTGTGTGTGTGTGTGTGTGTGTGTGTGAGTGATATGCGCGTATGTGTGTGTGTGTGTGTGTGTGTGCCCATCTTTCCTCCTCTCCGGCTCAGACTCTGAGCTCTGTGCAGAAGTTGGTGGACATTGAGCCATCGGCGGTCAGTGTGATGAGAATGACTCTGGCGCAGGTACACACTGTCTGTTGGACTTGATTTCCCATCATGCATCAGTCTCGTGCAGCCATCATCAACTTGTTGTTTTTGTTGTTGTTCTTTGCATGCTGACATAAGCCTGTGCACTTGTGGAAATTTCATCATGGAAATTAAGATTTTTTTTTGTTACATTTAAACGTGAGGTGTGTAATGTTTGCACCGCTAGCAGCCCAATTGGCTCAGCCAGTGGTTTGACTGTAGGGCAGTACTTTCTGTTTGTCTGACCAATAGCAGATGGGAGTTTGAAAACTTTCTGTTTTTAATGTCATTATTTTTACAGTTCTGTATTGGGTGCCACTAGCAGTGCAGAATTTATATTATATTATATTATATTATAGTCGAGTCAGTTTTATTTGGTGTAATGCTTTTTTACACAGTTTCAAAGCAGCTTTACAGAAATGCATGATGTTAATGTGTATTACACCTTATGTATTACACATGTGTATTAATTCATATTATGTTAATAAATATTGTAATTTATGTGTACATGATAGATAGATAGATAGATAGATAGATAGATAGATAGATAGATAGATAGATATTTCTATTTAGTCTATTTAGTAAATTTTTCATAATATAAAAGCGCCACAGTCATACGCGTTCCATCACGCTCTCCCAGAAAGTATTTCTATTTAGTCTATTTAGTTAATTTTTCATAATATAAAAGCGCCACAGTCATACGCATTCCATCACGCTCTCCCAGAAAGCATGTTTCAGAGTTTGAAGCAGCGGCACATGGGATTGATTAGGCCTTCGAGAGCGCCTGTAATCCAGATGGAGACCCTGCAGACTGTCATGTGTTTCATAGCAGACTCGACAACCCAGCATGCCTCAAACACATTCACCACATCTGTTTAAGGTCACGGCCAGAGGAAAAACAGCAAGACGTAAAAAAGGAGAGCGATGTTTAGATGCATTTTTTTTACTTTCGAGAAACGCTTGTCAGCCGTGACTAGTGCTGATATCAGATTGATGCGGCAATATCGAATGAAGACGCTTGTGTTAAAGCGCTCTGATTGAGTTTGTATTGATCAGTGCTGTCAGACTCAAATATTCACATGCAAGAATGCAGTGTCAGCGATACTGTCAGATCATCATACGCCACTCTTCTCACAGGATACTGCCATTTGCACGTGTTGTTCTTATAGAATTGAACAGAATATGGTAGCTATTTTCTATTGGAGGATAAATATGAGACCGGTCAGATTCAAGGGCTTTTTTGTTTTTTAGAAAAGTGCTCAGTGGTCTTTTAGTAAAATACACATACATTCTAATGTTTGTTTAGTCAACTTCTAAAATAAGTAAAATGTAAATAGATGACAAGGCATGGACTAAAAACCACAGATATTTTGATTTAATGTGTAATGTTTAATATACTGCATGTTTAAAGTCAACATGAATTTGGCATTGCTACCCATTTTTATTTTTATAATGACATTTTTATGAGTGAAATGCAATATTCAACCAAAGGAATATGTAGGGTGGGATTTATTTATCAAGGCAATGAAAAATAAAAGAGATTGTTGAAGAAGTGTTGTTTCACAGATGGAGAAAGGTCTTAAATTTAATGAAAGATGATGAATTATATATTCTAATTTGATTATGATGATTATTTCCCTTTTCAGTAACATACACTACTGTTCAAAAGTTTGGTGTTTTTTTTATGTTTTGAAAGAAGTCTCTTCTGCTCACCAAGGCTGAATTTATTTGATTAAAAAAAACACAAAAAATTTGAAATATTATTACAATTTAAAATACCTGTTTTCAACTGTAATATATTTTAAACTGTAATTTATTTATGTGATGCGCAGCTGAATTTTCAGCATCATAACTCCAGTCTTCAGTGTCACATGATCTTCAGAAATCATGCTAATATCCTGATTTACTGCTCAAGAAACATTTCTGATTATTATCAATGTTGAAAACAGTTGTGCTGCTTCATATTTCTTTGGAAACTGATACGTTTTTTTTTTGTTTTTTTTAGGATTTTCTGATAAGTTAAAGCATTTTCAAAAGAACAGCATTTATTTGAAATATAAATCTTTTGTAATATTATAAATGGCTTTACTGTCACTTTTGACTATATTAATGCATCCTTAGAAAAATGAAAAAAATCCCAAACTTTTAAATGCTAGTGTATACTGATAAACCGATCAGGAAAGATTCCTGTTGATTTTTCTTCAAACCCTCATAAGAGACTTTTGTCTAAATGCATATTGTTTTCAGGTGTTTAAGCTCAGAGATAAATGCATGGGAGAGACGTATAATTAGTGGATGACACCTGGAATGATGCTGAGAAAGAGACAGACTTGAGATTTGAAAAGACTTTGTAACAACCTAAATGAAATATGAGTTAATTAGATTTTACTGTACATGCACGTTTCACAATGAGCCTCAACTCGCCTCCTAAAAAAATGATTTGTTGTATTGCATCCCTTATCATTAGACAGAAGAATCGAGCAATCTTTTTTCCTCCACAATCCTCAAACCTGTCGTTTGTTAACCGTCTTTTCCCACTAAACCTCTGCTAATCCAAGCAGGTTGGTTGATTTGAGTTGATTAACAAATCCTTCTGTGCTTCAGGTCTGATATCAGAGATGTTGAAATGTTCTCAGCACTGAATCTGTGCTTTTGTGTTTTTAATTGTGAATGTAAAGAGTCTGATCTCAGACCTGTGATTCCGGCAGGTGTGTGTTGCTGTGGTAACCAGTTGTGTGTGTGTGTGTGTGTGTGTGTGTGTTTCAGAGTCGACAGCTGGAATCGGAGACGGGAACCACCGAAGAACACAGTCTCAACAAAGAAGCGAGGAAATGGGCCACACGTGTGGCTCGCGAACACAAAAACATCATCCATTACAAACGGGTGAGAGGTGCTGGATGTCACACACATGCATTTGCGCTGCAAGACAACATCTGTGACAAACCACACACTTAAACACTTAAAAATATTTTGTAATGTTGTATTGCATCCCTTATCATTAGATAGAAGAATCAAGCAATCTTTTTTCCTCCACAATCCTCAAACCTGTCGTTTGTTAACCGTCTTTTCCCACTAAACCTCTGCTAATCCAAGCAGGTTGGTTGATTTGAGTTGATTAACAAATCCTCCTGTGCTTCAGGTCTGATATCAGAGATGTTGAAATGTTCTCAGCACTGAATCTGTGCTTTTGTGTTTTTAATTGTGAATGTAAAGAGTCTGATCTCAGACCTGTGATTCCGGCAGGTGTGTGTTGCTGTGGTAACCAGTTGTGTGTGTGTGTGTGTGTGTGTGTGTTTCAGAGTCGACAGCTGGAATCGGAGACGGGAACCACCGAAGAACACAGTCTCAACAAAGAAGCGAGGAAATGGGCCACACGTGTGGCTCGCGAACACAAAAACATCATCCATTACAAACGGGTGAGAGGTGCTGGATGTCACACACATGCATTTGCACTCCAAGACAACATCTGTGACAAACCACACACTTAAACACTTAAAAATATTTTGTAAGTATCGAGATGCAAATTCGGATTTTTATAGTAATTACAAATGATGTGACATAAGGTTTAATTTCACAATCATGTTCATGTCACATGAATCCACAAAATAAAATAAAAAATAAATGAATGAATGAAATTAACCCTAAATCTGGAAATTTTACATTTGAGGATCCCCCCGAATTTATTTATTTATTTATTTTTGTCATTTGCATTATTCTCAGTGGTGATTGTTTGTTGCATGTTAATTATACAGTATTTATATATCTACAATAAAGCATATTGCAGTATAATATTATACAACATTATTTTATTTTTATGACAATTCTGTGAGATCCAGCCCCAAATTCTGGATATTTTACATTTGAGGATTTGATACAAATTCTGTTGCGTTGCAAATTAATCATTTAATTACAGATGACTAAGACATAAACTGTTTTACAGGAGCAGGTGTAATCTCAAAATCCATCCAGGTCACATAATTCCACAAAATTAAAAGAAATAAAAAATGTTTTTACTATTTTAGTGAACTTTACTATTTTATTTTTACGTATTTATTTTTTTATTTTAGTTTATTTAATTTAATTAAATTTTTTTACTTTATTTATTTTACTATAATTAGTTATTTTATTTTATTTTCGGTGAGTTCCTGCCCCAAATTGTTGCAGTACAATATTATACAATATTTTTTGTATTGCAATATTATATTTAATAATCAAAATAAAAGTGGTAGAACAGTATACTTTCTTTAAAATATACAAAATAGTTTGAAAGAGAAATGTGCTTAATAATCATGAAAAAGTCACAATGTTACTAAATTTGTAACATGTCTTCTTTTTTTCCTTTTGATTCTGAGGTAATATATGACCTCATCGTTTCTAAAAGTTTTTGTGAGATTCAGGGGAATTCAGGAATGTGAATCACTGCGTTAAACGTTATGTGTGTCCTGTACGATTGTTAGATTAGTGACAGGAAATGTGGTCTGATGCTGTTTTTTCGTGATGAGCTAATTGAACTGAGCTGATTGAACGGTAATTTGTTTTTATGACAGGCTCTAGAGGAATGCGAGACGCTCGGGACTCCGCCCACGGAACAGAGCCGGAATGAGCTGGAATTCCGAATAGAGGAGGCCAAGGAGAGCGTCCGCAAAGCAGAGGTGACGTAATGATGCTCATTATGTTCTTCCGAGGAACACAAAAGGAGAAGTTTAGCAGGATGTTCACGCTGCTTTTTGCCCTACAGTAAAAGAGTGGACTGGAGATGAGTTTTAGCTTTTATTTTTCTCTTTTCCTTGGATAATGCATCATATCGCTTCAGAAGGCTTGGAATATAGTGCGTAAGTCAAATACATTGAAAAAAGAAAAACTGATGTAGAATAAATGTTCACTCAGAAATTGATATTACATGAAATTTTAAAGTATTTTCTTGTAAATGTACTTCAACTACAAAAAAATCTTTTTTTTTACTATGTAGAGCTTGATGGCATCCATCTGTATTTACTTGTGCTGTAAACACGTGTATGTTTGCACAGAATAGTTTTGTATAGTGCATTTATTTGAGTAGCATTTCATTTGTTTTTATTAGACCAAACAAGGCAGAAGTGCTTAAAGGGTTAGTTCACCCAAAAATGAAATTTCTGTCATTATTTACTCACCCTCGTGTTGTTCGAAACCTGTAAGACCTTCATTCATCTTCAGAACACAATTTAAGATATTTTTGATGAAATCTGAGGGCACGCTGACCCTCTTATAGACAGCAAGGTAACTACCACGTTCAAGGTCCAGAAAAGTGCCAAGATGATCGACAAAGTAGTCCGTGTGACATCAGTGGTACAACTGTAAAGTTACGAAGACGACATCAATGATGACGTCATTACGCCGGATCTGGGTCAGCGCCGCCACACGCTCGCGTATATGATACTGTCATGAACATGCTTCCACAAGTGATGCAGTAGAGACGAAAATGTGGAATAAAGTCGGTATTTTAGTTTTCTTTATGCAAAAAAGTATTCTCGTAGCTTCGTAACTTTACAGTTGAACCACTGATGTCACACGGACTACTTTGTCGATCATCTTGGCACTTTTCTGGACCTTGAACGTGGTAGTTACCTTGCTGTCTATGGGAGGGTCAGAGAGCCCTCAGATTTCATCAAAAATATCTTAAATTGTGTTCCGAAGATGAACGAAGGTCTTACGGGTTTCGAACAACACGAGGATGAGTAATTAATGACAGTATTTTCATTTTGGGGTGAACTAACCCTTTAATAATGTCCCAAATGTCTCTGTCTTTCTGTAATGCATGCATTTCCCTTTCCAAACGGAGCTCTCTCTATCGATCTGTTCAGAGACAGGCTGTCAGTCTCTTTGTCTGCTCAATGTGTCTTCTCCTCGAAGATGTCCTGCAGTGTCTTTACACATGAATCCAGCAGTCGAGGCTCCCTCTGCTGGCCTTGCCTCTGACCTCTCTTATAGATTATATATTAAAGGAAGTGTTCATCCAAAAATGACAATTGTCTCATAGTTGAATCACCCTCACGTGGCTCCAAACCCATATGACTTCATTATTCCTTGAAGAAAGAATTCTGTGAATATTTTGAATGGCTTTTCCATGTCCTGGCAGCATACAATGATTAAGAAATGAATGAGCCATAAAAATGCTATATTCTTTTCTTTTTTTCAGCTGTGTTTCCATTAATGAAAACATTTTTAATAGTTTTAGTTTACAGTAACAACACTGGGCTACAATGGACAACTGGTTTGTCGTAGGTAACTGCTTGAATACTACAGTAAATGTAAACTATGAACAGGACAATCTATCTGTTAATTCGCTTTTTTATTTTCAGTTTTCATTTTAATTCTTGTTAAATGTTTTGACTTTTTTTAATTATTATTATTTTGGTTTAGTAATTTTAGTAATTCAACTTCAACGTATTTCGATCCATTTTTATTTTCGATTAGTTAGTATTTTTATCCCTTTTTTATTTTAATTTTGGTTTAAGTTGTAAAATGTTGTACTTTATTTTTATTTGTTTGTATTTTAAATGTTTCTATTTGGCTTTAATGTATTTGATTACAGTTTTAGTAATTTAGTACTTCAACTTAATAATTTTCCTTAACTGAAAAAGAGCTAAGAGCTGAAATAAATTAAAGTATTTTTTAATGAAAAATTAGAAATGCTGCCTTGGCAACTAATTGAAATAAATACATTTAATAATTCAATGACCAAGAGCAATAACAAACAATAAATTAACCATAAAAGTGTGATATGTTCCAAGCCTTCATAAGTCATGCAATAGCTTAAAATTGTAATCCCTAAAAATGATGCTCTCAAGTTTTATGCATGCATGCATTCAAATCATTTTATCTGGTTTGTCATCATTGACACCAAACAAATTGGTTCTTGCATGTCTTGTAACTGATCAAATCCCACCAAATTTGAATATGCATAAGTGCAAATTCCTCATTGGGAAGTCATATGGGTTTGGAACAATACGAGAGTGAGCTAATGATGACAGAATTTACATTTTTGGATGAGACAAATTAACGACAATAAGTAATTACAGAGAATTTAATGGACTAGATGTTGTAGATAAAACACCATCTTTGTTTTTTTCTCTTGAACTCAGAACGCTTGAAGCCAAATTGTAGTTCTCCATTAGTTCTTACAAACCATTAAATATTTAATAACCCCATTAAGAACTAATGGACAACCAGCAAAGACACAACAAACAGAATAAGGAGTGAAACCTAAAGTTGCGTTTGGAAATGTTAAGCTGTTATTTGGCAGCAGGCAATGTGCCAGAGAAATCTGTGTTTAGGCTACTCATCAACACATATTAAAAGTATAATTGCATTTTAATTATTTCCTTTGAAATTTCTTGTCCCGTCAGAATTACACAGAAATGAATGACTGAGGGAGTCCACACTGAAATGGCTTCTGAAAGCTGTTGGCTAAACTGAAAGTGATGAGTCTTCAGAAAGTTTGGCTGATAATGAGAAACAGCTGTAGGATCCTCAGAGATCAGACGCCTCACCTGACTAATGAGCACAGCTACCCCAGACATTATGACGGGACGGGACACTCGCGCTCCCAGCAGTTTTACCTTGTTTGTTTTTCTCTGTCTGACGTTAACTTGTCTTTTAAAATGCAGCTTTTTGCTTTCAGAGGCTACTTTCATTCAGTCAGTCCTGTTTTAAAGTTACATTCACACACGGTTTGTTTTAGAATCAATCTGACACCCTTTGGTTTTCAGCACTCAATTTCATTGCAAAAAGTGACTGCGAAATTGCATTTTGAATGTGAGGTTGGTCAACCTGGACTGAGCCAATGTTATTTTAGTCATATTTTTATATTAATATAGTATTATTGGTATTTTGAGATTTTAATTTTAGTTTTAAGATTTTGTTATATGCTTTTTGTTATATTTCTGTTTAGCTTTAATCCCCCCCAGTTGTATTAATTTTAGTATTTCATCATATTTAATTCAGTTAATTGCCAAGGCATAATTTCACATTTTTGTATGGACAACTTATTTGTTGCTTGAAAATTACAGTATATGTAAGCTGTTTATTTTATTTATTTTAAATTAGCTTTTTTATTTTGTAGTTTTAATTTTATTTGTCCTTTTTTTTTTTTTGTAATTTTTTGTACTTACGTCAGTTCTGTTAGTTTGTGGTGTTTTTAATGTCTATTTAGCTTTTGTTTATTTTTATTTTAGTTTTAATTTTAATCATTTTAGTACTTCAACTTATTTCAGTTAGTTTCCAACGCAATATTTTAATGGTCATTCTTCGTGTTTTACATGTAATATTTTTTATTTTATTTTATTTCATCTCTTTTTCAATTAACAAACTTTAATCCCCGCCAGTTGTATTAATTTTAGTATTTCATCATATTTAATTCAGTTAATTGCCAAGGCATGATTTCACATTTTTGTATGGACAACTTATTTGTTGCTTGAAAATTACAGTATATGTAAGCTGTTTATTTTATTTATTTTAAATTAGCTTTTTTTTTTTTTAGTTTTAATTTTTTTTTTCTTTTTTTTTTTTTGTAATTTTTTGTACTTACGTCAGTTCTGTTAGTTTGTGGTGTTTTTAATGTCTATTTAGCTTTTGTTTATTTTTATTTTAGTTTTAATTTTAATCATTTTAGTACTTCAACTTATTTCAGTTAGTTTCCAACGCAATATTTTAATGGTCATTCTTCGTGTTTTACATGTAATATTTTTTATTTTATTTTATTTCATCTCTTTTTCAATTAACAAAAATATTTTAATAATTCTAATTTTGGTTGCTTTTGTATGAACAGACAAGCTTTTATTCAGTTCTTTATGTTTAGTTTTAATTTGATTAGTTCTCATCTTTTTATTATGTACTGTTGTCATTTTTATTAGTTTTTTCTTTTTATATTTCTATTTAGCTTTCATTTATTTTTATTTCAGTTTTAGTCATTTGAGTACTTCAACTTATTTCCATCCATCTATCTTTATTTTAAATTACTTTTTTTTGAGAATTTAATGGACTAGATGTTGTAGATAAAACACCATCTTTGTTTTTTTCTCTTGAACTCAGAACGCTTGAAGCCAAATTGTAGTTCTCCATTAGTTCTTACAAACCATTAAATATTTAATAACCCCATTAAGAACTAATGGACAACCAGCAAAGACACAACAAACAGAATAAGGAGTGAAACCTAAAGTTGCGTTTGGAAATGTTAAGCTGTTATTTGGCAGCAGGCAATGTGCCAGAGAAATCTGTGTTTAGGCTACTCATCAACACATATTAAAAGTATAATTGCATTTTAATTATTTCCTTTGAAATTTCTTGTCCCGTCAGAATTACACAGAAATGAATGACTGAGGGAGTCCACACTGAAATGGCTTCTGAAAGCTGTTGGCTAAACTGAAAGTGATGAGTCTTCAGAAAGTTTGGCTGATAATGAGAAACAGCTGTAGGATCCTCAGAGATCAGACGCCTCACCTGACTAATGAGCACAGCTACCCCAGACATTATGACGGGACGGGACACTCGCGCTCCCAGCAGTTTTACCTTGTTTGTTTTTCTCTGTCTGACGTTAACTTGTCTTTTAAAATGCAGCTTTTTGCTTTCAGAGGCTACTTTCATTCAGTCAGTCCTGTTTTAAAGTTACATTCACACACGGTTTGTTTTAGAATCAATCTGACACCCTTTGGTTTTCAGCACTCAATTTCATTGCAAAAAGTGACTGCGAAATTGCATTTTGAATGTGAGGTTGGTCAACCTGGACTGAGCCAATGTTATTTTAGTCATATTTTTATATTAATATAGTATTATTGGTATTTTGAATTATCAATTTTAGTTTTAAGATTTTGTTATATGCTTTTTGTTATATTTCTGTTTAGCTTTAATCCCCGCCAGTTGTATTAATTTTAGTATTTCATCATATTTAATTCAGTTAATTGCCAAGGCATAATTTCACATTTTTGTATGGACAACTTATTTGTTGCTTGAAAATTACAGTATATGTAAGCTGTTTATTTTATTTATTTTAAATTAGCTTTTTTATTTTGTAGTTTTAATTTTATTTGTCCTTTTTTTTTTTTTGTAATTTTTTGTACTTACGTCAGTTCTGTTAGTTTGTGGTGTTTTTAATGTCTATTTAGCTTTTGTTTATTTTTATTTTAGTTTTAATTTTAATCATTTTAGTACTTCAACTTATTTCAGTTAGTTTCCAACGCAATATTTTAATGGTCATTCTTCGTGTTTTACATGTAATATTTTTTATTTTATTTTATTTCATCTCTTTTTCAATTAACAAAAATATTTTAATAATTCTAATTTTGGTTGCTTTTGTATGAACAGACAAGCTTTTATTCAGTTCTTTATGTTTAGTTTTAATTTGATTAGTTCTCATCTTTTTATTATGTACTGTTGTCATTTTTATTAGTTTTTTCTTTTTATATTTCTATTTAGCTTTCATTTATTTTTATTTCAGTTTTAGTCATTTGAGTACTTCAACTTATTTCCATCCATCTATCTTTATTTTAAATTACTTTTTTTTCAGTTTTCATTTTAATTTTTTTATTAGTTTGTTTTGAAATATTTCTGTTTAGCAATTTAGTCATTTTCTATTTAAATATTTGGTTGTAGGCTAGTCATTTATTTTTACTTCACTCTTAGTAATTTACTACTTGCACTTACATATTTATAAACATATTTATTATAAAATATTCATTAGATTTATTTCAACTATTAATATTAATGTATATTTCTATTTATCTTTCATTTATTTTTATTTCAATTTTAGTTTGTCATTTTCATACTTCAACTTATTTCTATCTCTCTTTATTTTAAATTAGTTTGTTTCATTTTATTTTCAGTTTTCATTTCAATTTTTTTATTAGTTTGTTTTGAAATATTTCTATTTAGTAATTTTCTATTTAAATATTTGTTTGTAGGCTAGTCATTTATTTTTACTTCACTCTTAGTAATTTACTACTTCAACTTACATATTTATTATAAAATATTCAGTAGATTTATTTCAACTGTTTTAATGTATATTTCTAAATTTTTATTTTAGTTTTAGTGATTATAGTACTTACACTTATTTCAGTTAGTTGTCAAGGCTACTACTTGTATTTTATTTCAGCTCTTTTTCCGTTAACACAAAAGATTTTTAGTAGTTTTAGTTTTAACCACACCAGACTGAACTGAACCACATTGGACTATTAGTTATTCATTCATAAGCAGTAGATTTATGAACAGGACTGTCTGTCTTTGTGTTTTTCAGACGCTAAAGCTGAAAGCAGAAGCGCGTCTGGACCTCCTGCGGCAGGTGGGAGTTTCTGTGGACACGTGGCTGAAGAGCGCCTTGAACCAGGTGATGGAAGAGCTGGAGAACGAGCGCTGGGCCTCGCTGCCCCCCCTCACCACCCACGACCTCTCTCTGTCGGTGAGCTCAAAGAGTTTACATGCAGATTCTCTCACTTTCCATTTCAAATGATGCAGTTGAGGTGGGATTTTGTTCTCATGCATTTGATAAAAGAGTCCTGCCAGCCTCCTCAACCCGCTCCTTCGCTCCTTCCTCAGCGCCATTGTTTTCAGACCAGCCTAAACAAGCAGTTGCCACAGCAGAGAGAACTAATCTTGATCACATGATCACAGCGTTGAGAATGAGAACAGTGCAGCAATGTTGTTAAGCACAAGTGTGAAGTACTGCGAGGCTAAATCACGAACATAGTGTGGAGCACGGAGCCTCAAGGTCATTGTAAAGATTGAGTGATTTTAGGTAAGACGGCAGAAATATTAATAACATAGCAGAGTTTAGCCCACAGCACAGACAGATTGACCTCCGTCTGTGGTTTAATATTCAGCTCACAGCGCCCCGCAGCACACAGACCGAGACGGAGAGATTTACAACAGAACATAAGAAAGCTAAAGACGAGAAGAGACCACAGCAACTGATGCGAGTTTGGGAAACCTGGAATAACTGATCTCAGTCCCTCAGTTTAAGGGACGTTTTCAGACGAGGATATTTTAGGATGTGAAGATGATAAAAGCATATATGAAATGAAAAGAGAAAGTTATTCTTTTCTTTGTGGAAATTGGGCTTTAACCCTGTAAAGCCTGACATATTCAATAATAGTAAAACAAATATATGTATATATCTTTTTGTTTGTTTTTAATGCAGCAGTTTATTGATACATTTCAACATGATTTTTGTTGCAATGGACAGAAAATCAAGTAAACCTTCATTCCAGTAATATTGAAATATTGCAAACAATAAAGCTATTCTTACATTTACTTTATAAAAATCATTAAAGATTTCACCGTGAAGAACAAGCTGGACTAAAAGACATTTTACTTGCTAAAAAAGTATTTAAAGCTGTTAATCAGAAGTCCTTGGGTGTACCACAGGTTTTGATAACTTAGAGGCCTTAAGAAATTTCCATATCAATACTGATACAGTAGGCTTTATAGGGTTAAGATAACAGTGACCTCAAAGTGCTTTCTCACACTCAATCTAATCTTTATTACCTCGTCACAAGCTGTTTTATGTCAGCAGTGGGCGTGGTCTGTAGATCAGGCTCCGCCCACCACAGCACAGGTTCCAGATTACAATGACCTCGCCTGGTCCCATGATTCAGTTCTGTTGACCTTCACTGACTGACACGGATCACTTTTCCTCCGTTATTGTACCCAGTTAAATCCGGTTATGTGAGATGCACATTGAACACCTGTAAAGGTATGAGTGTCCATTTCCTGTGTCCTTTGTTGATGATTTTATTCTTCTGTTTGCCACGTTTTGTCTCCTGGGAAAAATGGTCACCTGATCCTCTCTAGACCAAGGAGATTATCCTATAAGAGTGGGCGGATACTAAGTAAAGTCCACACACCTATTGAATTTTGGTCTGTTGAGCTGTTTGTTGCATGCCGTTGCATTTTCTCACACAAAAAAGCCCTCTGCCAAACTTTCTGAAGGTTATTGACCAATACTGAGCCAACAAGTGAGCCGTGCTGTTTGTCCGTGTGGTGACATTCATTGTGGTGTCTCTGTAGACCACGGTGGATTTGGACAGAGAGGAAGGAGAAGAATTAGAAGAGAACATGGAGACATACGACGACAGCAGCTCGAGTCCTTCAGGAACCCTGAGGAACTACCCGCTCACCTGCAAGGTGTTCTACTCATACAAGGTAAAAGACAACGACTCATTTCACTCGGGCTTAGGAATTATCTAAAAAGTGTGGACCAGTTATGATTTTGTTAACTAAAACTATTAAAACAAGTTTTTGTTCATTGAAATAAAATATAAATATAAATATTAGATGAAAAACGTCAACTTAAAAAAATGTATACTAGTATCAAATCTAATTTATAATAAATATTAATCATGTTTTAATATAATTTCATGTTACTGTAAATAAACACAAAAAAAAGTTCAAGAAGTTCTTTATTAATAATAAATTATGCATAAAATTATATTATAAAATAATACATTCATTTGTTTAGAATTTTTTTTATGATGTATTAATTTAATTTTAGTTAACATTTATTACAAACAAAAAATTTTTTATTTGTATTGTTTATTATAAATTATACATAATATTGATAAACTATAAATATTTCATTTTACATTTATTTATTGATTTATTTAAAAACACATTTAGCTGGGGCTTAGGAACAAACTATTATGTCTGACGTTAACTTGTCTTTTAAAATGCAGCTTTTTGCTTTCAGAGGCTACTTTCATTCAGTCAGTCCTGTTTTAAAGTTACATTCACACACGGTTTGTTTTAGAATCAATCTGACACCCTTTGGTTTTCAGCACTCAATTTCATTGCAAAAAGTGACTGCGAAATTGCATTTTGAATGTGAGGTTGGTCAACCTGGACTGAGCCAATGTTATTTTAGTCATATTTTTATATTAATATAGTATTATTGGTATTTTGAATTATCAATTTTAGTTTTAAGATTTTGTTATATGCTTTTTGTTATATTTCTGTTTAGCTTTAATCCCCGCCAGTTGTATTAATTTTAGTATTTCATCATATTTAATTCAGTTAATTGCCAAGGCATAATTTCACATTTTTGTATGGACAACTTATTTGTTGCTTGAAAATTACAGTATATGTAAGCTGTTTATTTTATTTATTTTAAATTAGCTTTTTTATTTTGTAGTTTTAATTTTATTTGTCCTTTTTTTTTTTTTGTAATTTTTTGTACTTACGTCAGTTCTGTTAGTTTGTGGTGTTTTTAATGTCTATTTAGCTTTTGTTTATTTTTATTTTAGTTTTAATTTTAATCATTTTAGTACTTCAACTTATTTCAGTTAGTTTCCAACGCAATATTTTAATGGTCATTCTTCGTGTTTTACATGTAATATTTTTTATTTTATTTTATTTCATCTCTTTTTCAATTAACAAAAATATTTTAATAATTCTAATTTTGGTTGCTTTTGTATGAACAGACAAGCTTTTATTCAGTTCTTTATGTTTAGTTTTAATTTGATTAGTTCTCATCTTTTTATTATGTACTGTTGTCATTTTTATTAGTTTTTTCTTTTTATATTTCTATTTAGCTTTCATTTATTTTTATTTCAGTTTTAGTCATTTGAGTACTTCAACTTATTTCCATCCATCTATCTTTATTTTAAATTACTTTTTTTTCAGTTTTCATTTTAATTTTTTTATTAGTTTGTTTTGAAATATTTCTGTTTAGCAATTTAGTCATTTTCTATTTAAATATTTGGTTGTAGGCTAGTCATTTATTTTTACTTCACTCTTAGTAATTTACTACTTGCACTTACATATTTATAAACATATTTATTATAAAATATTCATTAGATTTATTTCAACTATTAATATTAATGTATATTTCTATTTATCTTTCATTTATTTTTATTTCAATTTTAGTTTGTCATTTTCATACTTCAACTTATTTCTATCTCTCTTTATTTTAAATTAGTTTGTTTCATTTTATTTTCAGTTTTCATTTCAATTTTTTTATTAGTTTGTTTTGAAATATTTCTATTTAGTAATTTTCTATTTAAATATTTGTTTGTAGGCTAGTCATTTATTTTTACTTCACTCTTAGTAATTTACTACTTCAACTTACATATTTATTATAAAATATTCAGTAGATTTATTTCAACTGTTTTAATGTATATTTCTAAATAATTTTTATTTTAGTTTTAGTAATTATAGTACTTACACTTATTTCAGTTATTTGCCAAGGCTACTACTTGTATTTTATTTCAGCTCTTTTTCCGTTAACACAAAAGATTTTTAGTAGTTTTAGTTTTAACCACACCAGACTGAACTGAACCACATTGGACTATTAGTTATTCATTCATAAGCAGTAGATTTATGAACAGGACTGTCTGTCTTTGTGTTTTTCAGACGCTAAAGCTGAAAGCAGAAGCGCGTCTGGACCTCCTGCGGCAGGTGGGAGTTTCTGTGGACACGTGGCTGAAGAGCGCCTTGAACCAGGTGATGGAAGAGCTGGAGAACGAGCGCTGGGCCTCGCTGCCCCCCCTCACCACCCACGACCTCTCTCTGTCGGTGAGCTCAAAGAGTTTACATGCAGATTCTCTCACTTTCCATTTCAAATGATGCAGTTGAGGTGGGATTTTGTTCTCATGCATCTGATAAAAGAGTCCTGCCAGCCTCCTCAACCCGCTCCTTCCTGTTTCTGTCAGCGCCATTGTTTTCAGACCAGCCTAAACAAGCAGTTGCCACAGCAGAGAGAACTAATCTTGATCACAGCAGACAAACGTTGAGAATGAGAACAGTGCAGCAATGTTGTTAAGCACAAGTGTGAAGTACTGCGAGGCTAAATCACGAACATAGTGTGGAGCACGGAGCCTCAAGGTCATTGTAAAGATTGAGTGATTTTAGGTAAGACGGCAGAAATATTAATAACATAGCAGAGTTTAGCCCACAGCACAGACAGATTGACCTCCGTCTGTGGTTTAATATTCAGCTCACAGCGCCCCGCAGCACACAGACCGAGACGGAGAGATTTACAACAGAACATAAGAAAGCTAAAGACGAGAAGAGACCACAGCAACTGATGCGAGTTTGGGAAACCTGGAATAACTGATCTCAGTCCCTCAGTTTAAGGGACGTTTTCAGACGAGGATATTTTAGGATGTGAAGATGATAAAAGCATATATGAAATGAAAAGAGAAAGTTATTCTTTTCTTTGTGGAAATTGGGCTTTAACCCTGTAAAGCCTGACATATTCAATAATAGTAAAACAAATATATGTATATATCTTTTTGTTTGTTTTTAATGCAGCAGTTTATTGATACATTTCAACATGATTTTTGTTGCAATGGACAGAAAATCAAGTAAACCTTCATTCCAGTAATATTGAAATATTGCAAACAATAAAGCTATTCTTACATTTACTTTATAAAAATCATTAAAGATTTCACCGTGAAGAACAAGCTGGACTAAAAGACATTTTACTTGCTAAAAAAGTATTTAAAGCTGTTAATCAGAAGTCCTTGGGTGTACCACAGGTTTTGATAACTTAGAGGCCTTAAGAAATTTCCATATCAATACTGATACAGTAGGCTTTATAGGGTTAAGATAACAGTGACCTCAAAGTGCTTTCTCACACTCAATCTAATCTTTATTACCTCGTCACAAGCTGTTTTATGTCAGCAGTGGGCGTGGTCTGTAGATCAGGCTCCGCCCACCACAGCACAGGTTCCAGATTACAATGACCTCGCCTGGTCCCATGATTCAGTTCTGTTGACCTTCACTGACTGACACGGATCAGTTTTCCTCCGTTATTGTACCCAGTTAAATCCGGTTATGTGAGATGCACATTGAACACCTGTAAAGGTATGAGTGTCCATTTCCTGTGTCCTTTGTTGATGATTTTATTCTTCTGTTTGCCACGTTTTGTCTCCTGGGAAAAATGGTCACCTGATCCTCTCTAGACCAAGGAGATTATCCTATAAGAGTGGGCGGATACTAAGTAAAGTCCACACACTTTTCCTCCGTTATTGTACCCAGTTAAATCCGGTTATGTGAGATGCACATTGAACACCTGTAAAGGTATGAGTGTCCATTTCCTGTGTCCTTTGTTGATGATTTTATTCTTCTGTTTGCCACGTTTTGTCTCCTGGGAAAAATGGTCACCTGATCCTCTCTAGACCAATGAGATTATCCTATAAGAGTGGGCGGATACTAAGTAAAGTCCACACACCTATTGAATTTTGGTCTGTTGAGCTGTTTGTTGCATGCCGTTGCATTTTCTCACACAAAAAAGCCCTCTGCCAAACTTTCTGAAGGTTATTGACCAATACTGAGCCAACAAGTGAGCCGTGCTGTTTGTCCGTGTGGTGACATTCATTGTGGTGTCTCTGTAGACCACGGTGGATTTGGACAGAGAGGAAGGAGAAGAATTAGAAGAGAACATGGAGACGTACGACGACAGCAGCTCGAGTCCTTCAGGAACCCTGAGGAACTACCCGCTCACCTGCAAGGTGTTCTACTCATACAAGGTAAAAGACACCGACTCATTTCACTCAGGCTTAGGAATTATCTAAAAAGTGTGGACCAGTTATGATTTTGTTAACTAAAACTATTAAAACAAGTTTTTGTTCATTGAAATAAAATATAAATATAAATATTAGATGAAAAACGTCAACTTAAAAAAATGTATACTAGTATCAAATCTAATTTATAATAAATATTAATCATGTTTTAATATAATTTCATGTTACTGTAAATAAACACAAAAAAAAGTTCAAGAAGTTCTTTATTAATAATAAATTATGCATAAAATTATATTATAAAATAATACATTCATTTGTTTAGAATTTTTTTTATGATGTATTAATTTAATTTTAGTTAACATTTATTACAAACAAAAATTTTTATTTGTATTGTTTATTATAAATTATACATAATATTGATAAACTATAAATATTTCATATTTAAATATTTGTCAAAGTACATTTGTTTATTGATTTATTTAAAAACACATTTAGCTGGGGCTTAGGAACAAACTATTACAATTTTTTTAGTTTTCATTGAAATAAAGCTGAAATCAAATGAAATATGAATAGTAGATGAGAAAACAAACTCTTAAACTATAATTGAAAATGTTGCCTTGGCAACTAACTGAAATAAGCTGAAGTACTAGTAAGTGGTAAGTTGAAGTACTCGGTTCTAAGTTAAAATGAGTTGAAGCACTAAAATTACTAAAACAAAAACCTGAAAATGAAGTTAAAACTAAATAGAGATATTTAAATAAATGTATGGAAATGACAGAAACACAAAAAATGACTACAATATAAACATTGAATTCAAATATGAATAAATACTGTAATGTAGTAGTATGTAAATATCATGTTATAGACTTCGTCAGCATCTCTTCAATGTTTTATGCATATGGTACCATCTAAAAAAATCTAACGTTCATGAACTTTGGCATTGTTTGATTTCTAACATTGTTGACCTTGTTGAGAAGTCTCAAATTTCTGCCCCCCCCTGCAATTGTTCAAATGTATTTGGAAACATTAGCTTAGCAATAACGTTAGTCAAAGTCACAATCTCTGTTGCTCACATTTTTCTCTTACTTGCCCAGCAGCTTGGCTTATGAATATTAATTATGTAATGTGTGCATTGTGTGCTTCCTATTCTTATTCGTCATTTTGCAGCCAAATAAAATAAATATTTAAAAATTGGGTAACACTTTACATGAAGGGGTGTGCATAAGACTGACATGACACCTTCATAATCATGACATGGCACACGTCATATATGAAGGAGGTTGTATGCATGTTTATGACAACTGTCATTAAGTGTCATTCGCTCAGTTATGTCATTTTTAATTAGGGCTGCACGATTAATCGCAAGCGATATTTAACGCGCATCTTATCAGTAAAGCCGGTTCTTTAATCAGCGGTAAATCTCCATCACCTGCGTGCTTTCACATTGAGCAGCATTAACTACACAAAGCCGTTGTTCACTGACGAGCTGCACAAAACCACGTTCATATTCGCGCGATTTTTAGCGCAGCTCCTCAGTGAACAACGGCTCTGTGTAGTTAATGCTGCTCCATGTGAA